CAATTATGCAATGCAGAAACAAGAAATATCCCTGGAGTTCACACAAAGGTGTATAGACCTCTGAGGCTAAGCTATGATCACTTGGAAAGTGATGAAGCCAGGTATATCTTTTTGCTTTGTTCTTTGTTCGAGGAAGATAGTGATATTTCGACTGAAGAATTACTTAGATATGGAATGGGGCTTGGCATCTTTTTGGAAATTAAAAATATAGAAGGAGCAAGAAATAGAGTATGCCATCTGTTAGAAACACTGAAAGATCGTTTCTTGTTATCCCAAGGTTCAAACAGAAATTATGTCAAAATGCATGATGTGGTTCGTGACACGGCTATATATATTGCGTCTGAGGGAAAGCATATATTTATGGTAAGTCATGATGTGAACTCAGAAGAGTTCCCAAGAAAAGACTCTTACGAGCAATATAGTCATGTGTCCATTGTTGCAAATAAATTTGATGAGCATCCTAGTCCAATAATTTGCCCAAATTTGAAGCTTCTAATGTTGAAACTCTATTGTAAAGAGCCAATCAAATTACAAGACAATTTTTTTGATGGGATGAGTAAACTCAATGTCTTAAGCCTGAGTGGATATGAGTACTCCATTTGGCCTTTTCCAGCATCCATTCAGAGGTTGTTGAATCTGAAGACGTTGTGTCTGAGTAATTTAAGGTTGGATGACATATCCATTCTCGGTGAACTTGTCACTTTAGAAATTCTCAGCATAAGAGATTCTCAGTTAGAGAAGCTGCCCGTGGAGATAGGAAAATTGAAGAATCTAATCATGTTAGAGTTGCGGAATGATAAAAAACCACTGGAAATGATTTCACCAGGGGTCTTATCAAGACTAGTTCGATTGGAGGAACTACATATAATGAAAGTAAGAAGTTGTAGTTACTCCACCTTGAGGGAACTAGAATCCTTATCGAGATTGACTGCACTGACATTAAGTGAATGTTCCGGAGATGTGATCTACAGTAACTTGGGCCTTACCTCCAAGTTGACGCGGTATGCTCTTACAGTGGGTAAAGCTTACAGAGCGACTTCAAGCATGGATGATTACGACAAGAATATTGCTTTAGAGGTCACCGAGACTGCCCCATTAGGTGATTGGATCCGCCACCTGTTGAGCAAGAGCGAACTTGTACATTCAACCGGAGAGGGAACCAAGAACGTGTTGGCCGAGTTGCAGCTGGATGAATTTCAGAATGTGAAATATCTCTGCCTGAAATGTTTTGATTCATTGGCACATATCCAATGTCAGAATAATGTTTCATTTCCCAAACTCGAAAGACTGGAGGTAAGAAAGTGTCATCGTCTAAAGTATGTTTTTTTTGTGTCCTTATATGGAGGAAGTTCAACAGTAGCTTGCCTTGATGATGAGGAAGCCGAGATCTCTCGGAGAACACATGAAGTAATCAAGTTCCCCAATTTATATGATTTGAACCTTCTATCTCTCGAATGCCTCACTCACTTTTGCAATGACACTATTGATGGCATTGAGTTCCCTCGGTTACGGAAAATGAACTTCATGAACTTACCTGAGTTCAAAAATTTCTGGCCTACAACCAACAACTTCATCACTGGCTCAAATCCTCTTTTTGATGAAAAGGTCTGCTTCTACTGCTCTAGTGCAGGATCTATTTTTTTTTTGAATCAATAAAGCAAGTTTCTGTTGTGAGTGATCGATCACGAGTAGTATTGCTTCTTATCAGTTTAATATTTGATATGTGAGTCATTGATCCACATGATATTAACTCATTTTTTTGCAGGTTTCTTGTCCCAACCTGGAAAAGCTTCAACTCATTAGAGCTAACAACATAAGTGCTCTATGCTCTCACCAACTTCCAACTGCCTACTTCAGCAAACTTGTAAAACTGAAAGTAGATAATTGCGGAAAGTTGAGAAACTTGATGTCTCCATCAGTGGCCAGAGGTCTTCTGAATCTCCGGAAACTAAAGATAGAAAATTGTGAGTCGATAGAAGAAGTTATCACAGAAGAGGAACAACAAGGAGAAGAAATCATGACTAACGCGCCCTTATTCCCTCTGTTGGAACTTCTGAACCTTGACAATCTGCCAAAGCTAGAGCATTTCTTTCGGACGAAGCATGCTCTTGAATTTCCATTTCTCAGGGATGTGTGCATTCATGACTGCCCTGAAATAAAGACATTTTTCCAACAGGGATCTGTGAGTACACCGAGTCTCGAAAGTGTGAACAATGATGATGAGGTGAAAGTAGATGATATCAATAAAGTGATGTTCAATTCTAAGGTTTGTCTTGTGCCGCTAGCTGTATAAATAATTACTTATATGGACTTGGGTAATTCTCCCCTCTTGAGTTAGCTTTTGGGGTTAAGTTAGGCTTAGATGTCATTTCTTTGCAATTTTCATTCCAAATTCTCCATTTCCGTTATCTGATCTTTCATTTTCATACCAAATTCTACATTGCCGCTCTTTCAGCTTTCAAAGTTACTACTTTTCTACCCAACTATTAAACTAAATGGAGTCGATACTTCATCCCTTTAACGTTTGCAGGTTTCTTGTCCCAGCCTGGTGAAGCTAGTAGTTGTTGGGGTTAACAACATAACTGCCCTATGCTCTCACCAACTTCCAACTGCCTACTTTAGCAAACTTGAAACGGTGTACATATCGAATTGTGGAAAATTGAGAAACTTGACGTCTCCATCAGTAGCCAGAGGTCTTCTGAATCTCCAAGTATTAATGATAGAAGCCTGCCAATCAATAGAAGAAGTGATCACAGAAGAGGAACAACGTCAAGGCGAAGAAATCATGACTAATGAGCCTTTATTTCCCCTGTTAGAAGAGCTGGTGCTTTGCAAGCTGCCTAAGCTGAGACATTTCTTTCTCGCGAAGCATGCTCTTGAATTTCCATTTCTCAGAGTAGTGTGGATTAATAGTTGCCCTGAAATGGAGACGTTTGTCCGACAGGGAATATCTGTTAGTACACCCCAACTCAAATGGATGAACAATGATGTTGAGGTGAAAGTAGATGATCTGAATAAATGGACACAACATGCGTTCAATTCTAAGGTTTGTCTTGTGCTGCTAGTTGTATAACTAATTAACTCCAACGCTCTCTTTCCGTATTAGCTAATATTCCACTACTTAGTTCTCTCTTCTCTGTTCCCAGGAACAAAATGCTAGTCAAGGCACTACCGATGGCTACCAATCTGAAGCTAGAGATGGCGACAAATCTGAAGCTACTGATGGCGATGAATCTGAAGCTACTGAGTCTCAAAAGGGTGAACAATGACTTGGGGTGATGGCAATGAAGCTGAACCTAGTCATGGCAGAAGCTAGGAAGGTAATAAGTATTCGATGAAATAGTCCAAGTTAGCTCGAACATCACGTGATATAACCTATAGGGTTGTTAGTTGATTTTTGAAAGAAAGGGTGGATCTTGAAGAAGCGATATGAGCTTAGAGTATCAGCTTAATACGTTTTGTCAGGCCCCTTTGATATCTTATTAGTCAAGCGCTAGCGCCCCCTTTAGTCTGATTTACATTGGAACAAATGAGTCTACGTGACCATGTATTTGTATTAGCCATATCTATAAATGAGTTGACTTTGAACACGAATATTATTGCATATTAACTTGTGGTCACTCTAGGATTTGGTAAACTTCAAATTCTAAATCCGCCTATTATATCTAACATCTAATATGTAGATTTATTTTCTCATCTCATCTTGCATTTTATGTTCTTTTGACAGATTTTAAAGAATACTTTCTAGAGATGCTTTGTAAAATACTTCTTTTTTTGGAGTAATTTGAACTAAGATGATTTCTTTCATATGTTGAAGAAGTAATGGGGTTTGTATGGGATGTTCCCAAAAATAAACAATTAAAAGTTAAAACTACATCAATTGCTCTGTCAATTTATTCATTCGTTGTATTTAGACTGTATCGACAAATACAATTCAAAAAATACAATAAACTTTATCGCTCTAATTTCACTTATATTCATTTGCTTTTATCTTAATAAAGTGATGGTAAAAAGAGAAGGAGAGAGAGAGCGGGGTGAGAAAGAGGAGAGAGACGAGCGAAATTGGGAGAGAGGAGAACATATGCTAACATTTTGGACAAGTTAGGAGAGCCATCAATTTTTATGCCTTATTTATTTTCAAATCAAATATGAATTTTTACTTTGGAAACAAAAATATATATTTTTTAAAATTCCGCGAGAAAAAGAAAAGAAAGGTCAAACACCCACTTAATATCTGTAGGCAAATACTCCCTCCATCCCCTATTAGAAAGGCGTTAAACACTTTTTACATGATGATTAAAAAATTATTAATAGATCGATCAATTTAATATAAGACGATCAGAGCATATAAATACCACTTAAATTTTTCACAAAAATTAGGTTCATCTTTTAATTTTATCAATGACTTGATAGACATTACATTTATGAATTTTAATTGTCTTTTCAATGTTATCAACTTAGTGTAGTTTTTTTTTCCTAAATATAAAGCAGCTGTTTTTTTTGGGGGTCCCTAGAGTGAAAATAACACATACTAGCAATCAATAACTTGTTTGTGACACACAAGGTTTTAGGTTCGAGTCTAATTAACATCATAGTCTCTCAGATAGAAAACATTTTATCTCCTTTCAAGCAAGTCATAATTTATGTAATTTAAAATTATTGAATAATAAATCAATAATTTATATATAGTCAATATATTATTTATTTATTAATATAACTACAAAATCTGAACTAAAATTATCAAATCAAACCCAATCGAACCCATAATTAAAATTCTAGCTCCGTCTGAATCCCAAAAGCAAACAAAAGGAAAAAGGAAAACAAATGTCATCTCTTGTCAAGACATGAAAGCAAGTTGCCAAGTCCATAAAGATACTTCTAGCAAAAATATCCCTAAAAAATGAACCAATATCCAACACTAGATATTTTTTTAAAAATGAAGCAAATAAAGACAAAAATACCCCCTACTATAATATATCTTTAACTTCCACAATTCCATTAGTCATTCCAATTTTCCCACACATAAAAAAAAAGTATGTCACATGTGGATATTTCTGAATGGCAACAAATCCCATATTCTTCATCTTCAACTACAACCAATAATACTAACAATAATACTCAAATAGCTCCTGATGAAATGACTACTTTGCCCTTGATTGAGGATATTACTATTGATAATAATAATAGTAATGATGATGATGATGAGAAGGGTGAATATGGAAATAAGTGGTTGAAAAAGAGTTTAAGAGAATTGAGTTGTTGGATTGTTCAAGTGGCTTCAAAGATGAGAAATTATGCTTCTTCTAAAGTTGGAATTGGAAAATTCACTTATAATAGTAGAATATTGACATTTCTTTTGGTTCCATTGTTTTATTGGATGATAAAGAAAAAATGGAGGAGTCAAAGACAAATTGATAATACTTCTAACAAACTTATGCTACTTGTCCAAGAAAAAGACCAGGTATTTATTTAACTTCTTCTCTTTTTCTTTTTTTTTTACCATTTTTTGTTCTTTTAGAACTCGTTTGTTAGGGAGAATAAGAGATAAATAATCTCGAGGTTAAATTTAGAATAAGTTTATATCTCATATTTGATTAGAATAAAATTATGATATAGCTTATTCTGAAATTGTAGTTAGGGGCGAAGTGTGAAGGTGTTCACTGGAAATCTATCAGTTAAAAAAATTATATTGTATATGTTGGATAGATATTTCTAGGTATATGTGTTGAATATATTATAAATTGTGATCTTCTAAGGTTTGAATAACATGTAAATCAGTAAATGATTAGCTTAGGAATTCGGAATATTTAGAATGCACCACAATGTCCAAGATTTGATTCTTAGGGATTGCGTAATTTTTATATTTTTATTTTTCATACACATCAAAAAATGTAAAAATCTATTGTACAACTAAGATATACTCTACAGAAATTTAAAAGTATTTTGTTTTGTATTTGTCTCGTACATGCTATAATATATAAATAAAAATTTTAACTTGATCTCAACTGACAACTAAACATACATCAATTTTTAAACTTATTTTTACTGTGTCAATTGAACATTCTAACTTACAAAATAATCATCTAGACATTTCCAAAATTTATGTGTCACAGGTTGATGTATTATCCATTCTCAAAATTAGAATGTTTAGTATCAATTAAAATCAAGTTAAACTGTATATATATATTTATGTATTAGGTCTTCTAATTACAAGTAACTATAATTATTGCAGAAAATCGAACAATTATCGCTCCAAATTAGCCAGATGAATGAGTCCCTACTAACACGGCGAAAAGTTCCGGTCCTTCAAGTAGGCTAATATATACACTAGCCATTAGTTGTTTGTTGTGCAAGTATATAGTTAAAGAAGATATCTTAGTAGTATTTGGTATGAAATATTATGTACTCTTTTTAAATGAAATGCTTTCTTTCTTTTACTTTCGGAGGAGATATAGAAAGTGTGTCGTGTTTAGATTTGGTATCAATTGATATATGTATTTTTTTATTTTAGATGTGTACAAGTACATATTTAAAGTTGTATAAAGTTAAACTAGTAGATATACATGTCATCCTACATGACATAATACACGTAAGACGTCATGTAAAATCGTAAAATTTTCAGGTAGAACGTGTGTGTTTACTTATTCAATTATATACAAATTTACATATTTAATTGTTCATAATCAAAGTTGGAGAATATAAATGCTAGTTTAACACTTGGTTATCGTCATATTTAAAGACTTCTTATTTCTTTAAACATTTTTACATTTGGTTAATATCACATATGATCAGTGTTTTATCTATTATAATAAATAATGTTTTAAGAAAAATTATATTAAAATAATTGAACTTTACGCACTAAAGGAAATGAATTGTATAAACGGATGGATATAAACCAGTGGTCAATGGGGTTGACGATAAGTCGATTAGATTTTTCTGAGAAAAAAAACCGCTTTTCATCTAAGTGATTTCGAAAATAAAATAAATATACTTAAATAAAAAAATTTATGTAAATTTTTTTGAATTATATCTTAATGAAATTGCCACTACACAAAAGTTTAATAATACCTCATTATACATTCAGTTTAAATATATCTTTTTTGTTATACTTTTGATTCAAGTATATTCCTCTCATTATATTTTGGCACTAATTTATTCTTAATTTTGACAAAAAAAACATGCGAAAAACTTATAATCAAATTAATCCACCTTCAATTTTAAATATCCGATTTCTTTAGAAATTCACCATTTAACCCATCTCTAACCTATTCCCTCCACTTTAGCCCTTTTCTTTTTTTTTTAACGAAAAAATTTAGTTGAGTGATTTTGAAAGATAAAAACACTATAAGTGGAATGATTTTAGTGAGGCATTACCAAGTTCAGTGATTTTATTACATAAGAGATATTAACTCTTAACTTTCAGTGAAAATTCAATTAATTATATATTTTAAAAATATTAATTAAATAAGTACATGTTAATTATTGATATAAGTTGTGTTGCAAAGACGAGACAATTCCATTTGAGATCTGGGATTCGAGCTTCAAAATAAAGAAAATCTTGTTGGGAGCGCTAATTCATAATGAACTCAGTATGCAATTCAAATTTAATCGGAGCTTCGTACGAACATGATTTTTTTTTTTTTTAAAATACTCATAAATTATTAATATTAATATACTCGTAGTTAAAGTATTATTTTTAAAAATTAAATAAATCGTAATACTAGTTGAGGTTACAAATACAGTGGCAGACTAAAGTGATTGGACAGAAAGGGCTACTAAACTTTATAAAATTCACTTTCAAGGCCCTACATTTTACAATTGATTTCAAATAAGTCCATCTTTCTCCGGCGAACTCCTCGGGATCTCCTTTCCTTCCTCCGACGTAATCCAGCCGTAAGTTCCGCCATTTCCGTTCTACATTTTCTGCTCTTTTTTCAGATAAAAATCCTAATTCCTCTTATGTATTCCATTTTGCTTCACATTTCGTAAAAGCTACGAATTTTTGGGGGTTTAGTTTTTGCTCTCTCCGTTTCGAGTATTCGTATATCGTAATCTGTTTTATTGGCTTCTACAGCTATATAATATACTGTGATCTTTCTAATAATTCAAACTGCTAATTAGTCAAGTTAAAATATTACTTATAAAATTCACTAATTTTGAGAATTAATTTTTGTCTGGTAATTAGTGATTTGCTTGTTCACTAAGTTTATTAAATTAAATACTGCATCTTTTCCTATTTGAGCTAATTTTTTGGCATTATTTGGCTAGTGATGTTTATTATAATAGTTACATACTATCAGGACTTTCAAGCAGTCAAATTTATTTAATTATTCAGATTTTAAGCTTTGATGTGATCTGTTTTTCTATTTTTTCAGATGAAAATGACTTTTTCAAGTAAATTTAATGTACAGTACAATATAATTCATGTTTATAATGGTGTAGAACCTATTTTGACTAGATTGAAAACATATTAGTATATAATTACATGTTAATAAAATAAACTATCTAATATCAAATCCTAACCAATTTTGGTTTCTTATTCCAACCTTGAATTAGTCTTCCAACATTCTCCCGTTATTCAAAGTTATATTTCCAATTGTTGATGCACTTTGTAACCAACGTAATTGTTGAAGTACTTGTCTTCAACTTCCTTTTTTTTTTCTTTTTTTTTTTGTTGATGCACTTGTTGCCAACCTCCAATTGTTGAAGTACTTGTCTCCAACTCTCAACTGTTGATGATCAATATATTTTTTCATTTGTTTATGCACTTGTCATCAACTTTCTATTGTTGGTGCATTTTTCACCAACATTTAGAAATAATTTCTTCCTTTTGTGCTATATTTGCTTGCTCCTTTATAAACATGTTTGCATTTTTTCTTCACCCTATATCAAATTTTCACTGTCGACAATTTTCTGTGAGTTTGCGAACGTAAACCTTGTCCACAGGGGCGACATACGTTGGCTAGTGCCCCTGCGTCAACAAAAGTTATTTGATACTCTACTAAGATTGTAGAGACTTTGATACCTATAAGAATGAAATTATTTTCAGAACCTCATAAATTTGTTAATGTTCTCCATAAATCTTCTCTACTAGAAAATAAGTAATAGCACACCTACTTAGGCATGAATTGAATAAATTAACCAGTAACAAATCCTAACCAGTTTTGGTTTCTTACTCCAACTTTAAATTAATAATCCAACAAAATGTTTTCTTCTGTTACCACTTACCACTAGTATAATATATAAATTAGATTAAAAAATTAAGTCAAAACCCGTGTAAATATTGGAATGTACAAAATCATGGCCGAAGTGTTGGTTGAAAGATTGAAGGTGAGAGATAAGTTGATCAGTACACATTAGAGGGCCTTCATAAAAGGAAGACAAATTATGTATGCTGCTTGATAGCAAGTGAGTATGTTGATACTAGACTGAGAGGTGTGGATCCTGGAGTAATGTAAATTGGATATTGAGAAGGCTTATGACCATCTCGATTGGAATTTTCTACTCAGTATTCTCAGGGACTCAGATAGATGGGATTTGACAGCAGATGGCTGAAATGGATTGAATTCTGCATCAAAAACACTAGGTTCTTAATTCTGGTTAATGGAGAATCAGCTGTTTTTTTTCAGCAGAGAGGGGGATCATACAGGGAGATCCCCTATCAGCTTTCCTCTTTATCATAGCTATGGAGGAATTCAATAGTATATTGAAGATTGCCACTCAGAGCATATGGTTACAAGGCTTTTGAATTGGAAAATGGGCAGATGAGACACTGTAAATTTGCCACCTGTTGTATGTAGATGACCCTGTAATTTTTTGTGATGCTAATCCTGAGCAACTATCTTAGGATGATGCTAGTTATTTTTGAAGCTACATATGGAGTGCAAGTTAATTGAAGGAAAAGCAACATCTTTCCTATTAAGGATGTTACACAGATGCATGTTGCTGACAAACATTCTGGGGTGTGGGGTGGAAAAGTTGCCTACTGTATATCTTGGAATGCCATTGGGATCAAAACACAAGGCTCTTGAGATTTAGGATGGCATTATAGAGAAGATAGAAAGAAGCTTGCAATGTGGGAATCTCAGTATCTCTCTTTAGGAGGCAAGTTAATTTAATCAACTCTTTTTTGGATTCTTTATCAACATTTGTGATGTCCTTATTTCCCATGCCAAGAAAGGTAATCGAAACTCTTGACAGCTTGAGAAGGAACTTTTTGTGGCACGGTTACAAAGAGGCCAAAAGTTTCAATTGGGTGAAGTGGGAAACAGTCCAACAGAGCAGAGAGCAAGGAGATATAGGGTTAGAAACTTGAAGCTATAAAATAACAGCTTACTCATGAAATGGTTATGGAGGTATAATGAGGAGGGTCAATCTCTTTAAAAAGATGTGATCTATAGAAGTGTGGGCAGAATGGACAATAGTGTATTGATGAAGTCACAAACACTTTTAGAGTTGGAGTTTAGAGAACTATCAGGTTTTTATAGACACCCCTGATGAGGAATATAAGCTACCATGTGGGCAATGGAAGAAAAATGCTCTTCCGGAAAGACAATTGGACTGGGCAAGGAACTTTGCTGGAGACCTTCCCTGGACTATTCTATATTTGCACCAATTCAGATATCACAATAGAAGAGATTTGGACAACATAGGGTTGGAGTCTTGTTTTCAGGAGATTGTTGAATGATTGGGAAGCGGAAAGGGTGGTTGAACTGTTAGAAAGAGCGGGAAGCTTTACTGGGGCAACAACTGACTTGACACCATCAGATGGAGGCACAATGAATATGGGCAATTCTCAGTAAATAGAGTATACAAGAGAGGCCTGTCTGAGTTGGCAGGAAGTTTCAAGGGTCTATAGCATGGCACGAACAAAGGTTAAATGCTTTTTATGGTTGGTGGTGAAGAAACCATGTGTTACTCATGAAACACTTTAGAGGAGGAAAATCCAGAGATGCCCTCTATGTATGGAGGCAGCAGAAACTAATAACCATTTGTTATTGCACGGTAGGTAACATCATCAGAAGTCTAGGCACTTTTTATCTGTTTGGCCAGGGAGGAATGGACAATGCCAGAGCATACCACAGACTTACTGAGCTGCTGGATCAGAAGGAGTGGGAGTAAGAGTAAAAAAAAGCGGTGGAAAACATTACCAACATGTATTCGATGGAACATATGGAAGGAGAGAAATGAAAGGATCTTTGAAGGCAGATTCAGTTCCATACAAAAGATCAAATGGAAATGTATTGCCTCTTTATGATTTTACTGTAAAGAACAATGTATATTAGGAGGAAGTACAGATAATGGACTTCTTAGGAGTTCCTTAGT